CTGGAAATGTTCAGTATACAACGATACGTATAATGAATATGTTGAGTTGTATTCAGCCAGCAAGGAGATTTTACAATTGCAGCCTCTCTGACAATGGCTGTCTTCGTTCGGCAGCAGTTAGCTGACTAGCTGATTTAATTGGACCACTGGGACTAATATCCAAGAAGACAATCTTTTTCTCGTTTGACTTAGTTGATTGATCCGTTGTAATCAGCGGACGACAGTTTCAAGTGAACGTGTTGGCAGACTAATATAAACCCTGTATCACAAACATGATCTGCTCCCACATTTTTCACTGTACAAAAAAGCGAGAAGAAGTTGACCTGTCTGTATTAGCTCAGTGACTAGAACACTATGTATTAGCCTAGTATAGTACCCTTGTATGTTCCTTATGTATGTGTGTCTAAGTCAAGTAGTGCATCTTTTGTCTCCAATTTTCTATATACGTTTGTTATGTGTCTGTCATACTCAGTATCTTGACCTGTACCTAGCCCGTCGTGGCATGAATGTACAATAAATGTATTTCATATAATCATATATATATAAACAGGGTGGCTTAATGGAAAGGGAGGAAGCTACCATGGATGGCAGAGAATCTCGTCAAGCAACTATCGAGGTCTCGGCCGATAAATGATGGTCTAGTGGAGTCGTCTAGACATTAGCTTTTTGAGTCGATCGCCTCTTGGGACCTGGTCACGCAATGTAGGTAATCAATTTACCGTTAGTTGGAGGGACCTGGTAAACGTACGGTGACTAGCTATCTGCCAAACGTTCACGAATAGTTATCTGTCAAACGTGTACATTTTCTGTACAAAATGTCCACTGTAGCAGATAGACACCATATTCAGCAATACGTCTGAAGACAATTGATATAGACGTATGATACATACATGTTGTACCTGAAAATATTGCCAATACGTTTAATAATTTCATGGATTTTAGTAAGCTTAAATTTTCGTTAACAATCTTAAATTTATTGGCCTCAACGGGGCAGAAATTAAAGAACCATTGTTGACTGCACATACGGAAAGAGACAGCCTGACAGAAAAACACTGTAAAGCCTCCGCTGCCTTGTTTATATTTAATAGGAACTTTAACCCATGTTGACAGGCGCCCTGTGCTATCCCAGTGGGAGGTTTTACCGGCTCTCGGCTGTATTGTACGCGGCAGGCGCGCAGTAACGTGCTGAAAGCATCTCCGCTGCGATATAATCAATTGTGATTGGTGATGGATACATAAATAGCCGGTTACACATGGACAAGGTGAGGGTTGCTGGATACATGTATAAAGCAGAAGAAGAAAGTTATTGGTGATTTTGGTGTATCTATATATCAATAGTTGTTGGAACAAAATTGATATGTTAACCGAAGAAAAACATATTACTTTTGCTCAGTTTCTTCTTCCCCCTTCTTCGTCTCCAAACAGTGACAGCAATGACCTGAACCAATCTTGTGTCTGTTACCATGGTAACTAGTGTTGAGTTAAATCATGTTGCTATTTTATAGCAGGAGGTATTTAGACTCCTGTCTGACCATATATATGAATATGGTTGAGTAAGAATTAACAGAGCACACCATATGCGAAGGTACACATTATGCATTTGCCTTGCAAATGTTACCTTTCTAATTAGAAATATTTCTGTTCTACTTCTGCAATTACAGTTATTTTGTTAAAACACCGAGTGTGTGTCTTACCAGGTTGATATGTACCTAAAGTGGCGAATCTCAAACATGGACACAAGTCTAGCTTAGTAGACACAGAAGCAAGAGTATATCACATGCCGTCTTAGATCCTTAAGCCATTAGCTCTGTAACACTCACTCACTCTCACTGGGTCGAGCTTCCCTCGGTGCCAATGACTGCTCTCCATCTCTTCCTATCCTTCATTTCTACCATCAGGTTTTTAATTGGTTAATTAATTGGTTAATGTAGTTTCTTGCTGTACGACCTCGACTTCTTTTTCCACGTGAGGGCTCCCACAGTATTAACTGCTTTATGATTTCATCCTCACTTCTGTAGCAGTGTCCGATGAACTTCAACCTTCGTTTTCTCTGAAAGCTCTGTAACAGCCTGGTTGAAAATTCTACATCACAATGCCACGACGTCCTATACGGAATAATACCGTAAGAACCAAGAGCCAGGATTCCTTACACGTGGGCAGGCTCGTCTGATCATTGCCGCTAATCACCAGAAGGTACTGAAAGGTTAATGGGTACTTCAGCAGGTACATAAGCACGTGTACGTATTCTGACTTACATAACAAGTGGGCCGGGACTGAAGTGGACTACTTCAGCTAGAAACTACTCATCAGAAGGCAAATCTGGAACTTGGTTCATTTCTGTTTAACCCCTTAAGCAATAGGTACTATTTCCTTCATAAGCGGGCTGCATTTGCCCAGGATTGGAGTAAACTTATGCATGGTTTCTTGATAGCAAGCCAACTTCTGGTTTCATTCTCCGGAACCAATGTCAATTCTGTTTTGCCCACAGCCAAAGGCAATCTTATATTTTCTCGATAAGCTACCTGCATCTAACATCACAGAGCACTCATATCCGGTTATTTTTAATAACGATCGGAACTCCTAGTTTCATTCCTCAAGATCCACTCAATTCTCTATAGCCCTCAGTCACAGTTTTTCATATGTTTCTTGATAAGCTGACTGCATTTGTCTGATATCAGTGAGCACTCAGACCTAATCTTTTACTTTATGGCAAGTCAACTTCTGGTTTTTGGAACCCATTTCAATTCAGTGTCGCCCCGGGTCAGAGTTACTGTAGCATTGCGTTGATAAGCCTGACCCAGTGTATCATTGAGGGGCACTTATTTTCAATCCTTGAAAGCAAGCCAAGAACACGAATTCATTTCTCTGGATCTCATTGCAATTTTATACAGCCTATGTATATAGACCTTATTGACCTTAGATATAACATGTACCATATCTTCAGTCCTGTTAAAAATAAAATAAAGTAACTGCAAGCCAAAGATAAGATTCCATTTCTTTGGAACTCATTGCAATTCTATACAACCTATGTAGTCAATAGGATCCTATTATACACACACTGTGATCTTAGATATAACGTGTACCATATCTTCAGTCATGTTAAAAATAAAATAAAGTGACTGCAACCCAAAGACAAGAGTCCATTTCTCAGTAACTCATTGCAATTCTATACAGCCTACAGTAAATAGAGTTCCTATCACATAAAGATATAAACTGTGACCTTAGATATATTACATGTACCATATCTTCGGTCCTGTTAAAAATAAAATAAAGTAACTGCAAGCCAAAGATAAGAGTCCATTTCTCAGTAACTCATTGCAATTCTATACAGCCTACAGTAAATTGAGTTCCTATCATATAAAGACACACACTGTGACCTTAGATATAACGTGTACCATATCTTTGGTACTGTTTATGAAATAAAGTAACTGCAACCCAAAGACAAGAGTCCATTTTTCAGCAACTCATTGCAATTCTATGCAGCCTGCAGTAAATAGAGTTCCTATTATATAAACATAGAGACCGTGGCCTTAGATATAACATGTACCATATCATGTATATAATGTACTATACATAATGCAATTTATGATTTTGTATTGATATTGTATATACATGTATAGTATAATAATAAATAATAGTAGTGTCTGGGAGGGTAACTTGCAAAGATTTTGCCCTCCCTTCCATTTGTATATTTCTTGTGGCGAATCTAAATAAATAACTAAATAAATATCTTGGGTCCTGTTTGAAATAAGATAAAGTAACCTGATAGCTAGATCCATGTATACACCTATTTTACCCCCTCTTTCACTTGTATATTTCTTATGGTGAATCCAAATAAACAAATGACTAAATATCTTCAGTCCTGTTTGAAGTAAAATAAAGTAACATGTATCATATCTTCAGTGTTGTTTAAGATAAAGTAACTTGCTAGCTAGATCCGTGTGACATGTATGACTAACAGGCCATGAGACCTGAGGACGTTCGCCTTAGTGCAAGCTGCCTATATATTCTAGTAGAAGTAGTTAGACTGGTGTATTGTTGAAATCAAAGATAAGTCCAGTGGCCAACAGGCTGAATTGACAGTGTACAAATTGGCAGGCAATATTGATTCGCTTGAATATCTATGATCATTAAAATCGCAATACAGATAAAAACAATATTTATATGAAGAAGATTATACTATGTGTCTCCCCCAGAAGCACCATACTACGAAAAGTCTGGCTGAGTTTAATTAGGATTTTCCCTGCGTCCTGACATGCCGTGCAACAGGTCCGGCCATCCCTCGCCAGGCGGCCCATTGTCTGTGTAATTTCCTACAGAGTGCGGGGATGGCGGCCAGGGCGTATCGCCAGATTACCAGCAGGTCAAATACCATCAGATGGGTCTGAAGCAGGGCCGTGAGATGCCCTGGCCTTAATTGAAGACAGTCTATATGACTTAACGCTGGCAATAGATTTCCGCTCTTGTATGAAGTAAGGACTACAAATAACATAAAGGCACGCTAGAGGGAATCAATACGACACTGATGCTTACTTCGTCCTGGTTACGGCTGGGTAAATACATTCACGTCAGGCTAGCATCGTTCCCAATCATGGACAGAGGAGGCGTTCATAGAATTGTACATTTCTAAGCGAATCTTACATGTAAAGACTTTCTGATCTAAAGGCTAGCGATGTACACACATTATACAATGCTAGCAAAATAACTCAAACAACCATATAAACTATGAGGAGTCAGAAGTTCCAAAGAGCGTCTGCTATCTTACATCAGGGACTATATAAATGAGACTGAAGACAGGTGTAATCTGTAAATATTTGTCTTCATATAGCTACAGGTTGCACTTTGTCTTCAGACTCATTTTCAGTCAATGTTAAGGGACTGAGGATGCTATCTTAAACATTTGACTCTTCAGCAGAGAATTCATCTAACAGTAGGTGTTTGATTTGTATATTTCGCAAGACGTAATGTTCTAAGTGGCTGTCTAACCTGCATTGACCTACCTTAGTTCCGTTCCAAAGCATGACCAAGTTGTAGTCAGCCAACACGTTGTTGTTGTCGTTGATATCCTGAAGAGCTAGCTCCACGGCCGCCGGCACTCCGCTGCCTTCACTCCCGTCAAAACCGGCCTCCGAGTTCGGGAAGAACCCCATAATAGTCAGGTTCGTCTTCAGTGCCTGTGTTTGAACCGTCACGGTTGTGAAAATGCACAGCAGAATGGTTGTTGTCCTGCAGCCGAATCGCACCGTTCGCTTTCCCTCCATCGCTCCTAGTACAGTCTCTGCCTGCTGCCCAACCGCCTGGGCAAAATCACAGTGGCTGACTGAGGTTAGCGCTGCTGCCAGTGCCTTTTGTACTACCAGTGGATGGACGCGATTCTACCTCATCTACATATGAATACGGCTTGCGATGGTGAGAAGAGGTTATGATATAAACTACGTGCGCGCTAGCTGCCTTCAGTCGTCTCCTGGGAGATAGAATGAAGGATTGCCTGTGGGTGACGATGAGCAACTACATGTCTGCACTGCAAAATACGGGCCCGTTTCGACCTCACAAAAGGCGGCTGCAGTAAAGTCCTGCCAAATGATTTTTCCCCGCTGGATTTTTCTCTCAGCATGAGGTCTTACGTGATTGGCTGGTTCGGCACCGGTTCTTTGCACATGTGTCCCTTGGTGACACCGTTGAACGCTCCAACCGTAGGCAATTTGTTTGCACAGCCGTTAGGACGGTGAAATGGGGGCGTTATGGTCAGCGATACGACTCGCATGATCCTTATGGGCGCTTGTTGACGCGATATGATATTTTCGGCGTCTCTAAATGGATGGCAGGATATTAAGTGACGTCATTGGAAGGCTTCTAAATGGCCCGTTGATTGTGTTCAGTACACAGGACAGGACCGTCTGGGCTAATAGTGCTCATATCTTCTCAATTAGCTTGTTTTTTTTTAATAAACCCATCGTCTTTCTCTTAACGGCCTGCTAAGACAATTGTACAATCATTCTTGTATCATTCAGACAAAGTCATGACTTAGTGGGGTTATCCTATGTGTTCAGAACCAAGGACATGACCGTTTGGGAAAATAATGTTCACAATTTCACATCTTCTCAATTTTCCTCAACTTGTAAAACAAAGCATATTTCAGTCTTAGGTTGCCAGTATCTTTAAGGATAAATTGATTGATTGATTGATTGATTGATTGACTGGTTGATTTTGAACACTACACGGACGAATGCTACACAATATCGCAGCAAAATCATCATCGTCATCTTGCTTTGTATGAAGTGAAATAGATGCTTATAAATAACTATATTAGACAACATTCAACTATTTCATTTCAAAGAATCGTAGCAACCACAGAACTAACTGGCAATGGCGCCAATCCTTCTTGGAGTAGAATTACGATGTACTAAATCGTTCACCTATGCCTCAGTGGCTCACCCATGCTCTTACGAATGCTAACGCTGTCTATGTTGTATATTTGTAAGTGATATTGTATCAGACAAGGTGATTACAGAACAAAGACGTTGTTGTTACAACACACGGCACGTTCTATACGTCACCACATCTCTGTCGTCCCGGGAAGGATTGTGTTTTATGTTCCTAAGAGCGAGAGACGTGTGCATATGTGATCGCACAGTTAGCTAGTTAACAGGCAGAACGAACCACGGAGGACGTTAACCAGAGAAGACGTTTGTGTTTCTGTCTGTCGCCATATTGTCTCCTGTTACAAGCTGTAAACTGTGCAACTATACAACATTGATGTCAGCCCATGTACAACATCAATAATGATAAAACATATATTATTATCATTGCAATGTATGTACGTGTCGGTATGTTTCCATTAAGAAGCTTGCCTCCAAAGATTAGTGCGTCGTTTTTTCTTATTATACGCTTTCGTTTACAATAAACCAGCTCTGGTGAAGGCATGCAGAGAGCTGTTTCAAATCAGGTACAATCAGAAAACAACATGTAACAAGTCCCAAGCGCCCAACCGAGAGACTGGTTACGAATGCTGAACGAATTTCGTACTGTCACCTGCACAGAATGTTCGCTACAGTAGATTATCTGTCAATGTCAGAAGTGAGTCCCTTTTACATAACCCCTGTGCAGAAGGCAGGTTTAGAATATTCTGTGCCTGCCGGTACAGTGTGGCGTCTGCCTCACAGATATGTGACCTCATAGAACCCTACATGCTACCAGCATCTGAATTAGGACTGGAAATCGTGAGATAGAGCTTTACTTTTACAACATACAAAACGTCAGGGCCATATTGGAAAAACAAAAACAGGAGGATATTTTTCAAACGTTGTTTCTTGCTGTTAACGACAATTATTATATGAACCATTTGGGCCTAATTAAAAAGAAGGTATCTGTATTAAACAGTGTTTACTGCTGCCTTGCTACATTAATGTACCATTAACGGCAACATTAAACCGTCAACGACACAATATAACGTATGTAAAGACGATCTAATCGGTGATGTATGCTTATGATGTGCAGATACAGTCAGTAGTGATGTTGGCTCTGTAATCATCATCAAGGATGTCAGACAAAATGAGTGGAATGATACGATACGACCTAGGAATATGTAAGAGATTCTTTTTTCAATTCTTCATTTTAATGCACTGTGCAGGTACAATGTTGTGTATGTACAGTCAGTGCTGATGTTGGCTCTTTAATCATCATCAAGGATGTCAGACAAAATGAGTGGAACGATACGTTACGACCTAGGAATATCTAAGAGATTCTTTTTTCAATTCTTCATTTTAAGGCACTGTGCAGGTACAATGTTGTGTATGTACAGTCAGTGCTGATGTTGGCTCTGTCATTACCATCAAAGATGTCAGACAAAATGAGTGGAACGATACGATACGATTGAGGAATATCTAAGAGTTTCTTTCTGAATTCTTCACATAAAGTCACTACACGTAAACACGTCGGAACGTTCTGTATTCATCTGGTATGAAATGAAAATTCGATATGCAATGACGGGATTACCTAGGAAATACCACCGGCATTCACTTATAATTGCCACGTCCATCATGTAACTTAGTCGTAATTAGGTTCAGGAATGTACAGTTTCAACACTGTACATCAGGCTTATTGTAAATCCACAGAATCGATCTTCAGTGCATCAAAACATGGCTATTTTTAAATAGGTACCTTCAAGTTGGTACAAACAACATGCATGAAAAAAGATATAGAAGATACAATGATATAATAATAGACTCACTATGGGATTATTTGGGCGACAGCTCAAATCAGTTTATTAGCTGCCTCTGAACTTTGACCTGCGCGTCATCGCTTCTATTCATTGTGTAAGAGTGCAGATAATAGTCTAATATTATATTACATTCTACAACATATGCGGTACTGATTTTGCTGGGTCTGACTTCTTCTTTTGACTCGAGGCAGTGGCAAACAAATTTACCCACTTCTTCTATAATACGTTGGTTCTTTGATTTTAGTAGTAAAATTGTTTGATAGTGTAAAAGTAAGGGAGCATTTTGGACACGACGGTAAATAATAGGTTTCTGATATCGTCATAAAATGAACAATTAGATATGAGACTAGATTATTCTCTACAGCAACATCGGCGAAAACAGGCATGGTGATTACAATAATTCACAGTAAATTTTCTGTTCCTATATCTTTATTGCAGTGTAGGAAGGTCTCAGCATGTCTGTGGAATAGCAGTCTATATTGCGGGTTAAACAGGTGGCCTCGTCACGTCGTGGTAAGCTTGAGTTCATCAAAATTGCACCAGCCAGTCAATACTTTCTGCTGCATTTATAACCGATGGTGCCCTTGGGACTTTAACGATCGGAGCCAGGCAGCCGCGGCAGTGAAAGAAAAATATTATTGCTGATCGTTTTCAGGGCCTTTGTGTGACGCACCCCGTGCTAGTCACGTTTCGGTACAGCCGGTAGCATTGTCGCTTTACCTTGTATATCAAGTCTTTATAAGGCATTGTAAAACATCTAAAACTAGAAAGGTAACATTTGCAAAGCAAATTCATAATGTTTACCTTCGCATATGGTTGCTCTGTTAATTCTTACACATTCATTATGGTCAGACAGGGGTCTAAATCCCTCCTGCTATAGAATTGCAACATGATGTAACCCAACACCTGTTACCATGGTGACAGACGTCAGCAAATCATGTCATTGGCCAGGTCAAAGGTTAATATTTGGAGAAGAAGAGGAAAAGGAAACTGAGCAAAAACAATATGTTTTCCTTCGGTCAACATAATTATATAACATTTACAATTACAATACAGTACATTGTAATAGGGAACAGACAACTACTGTCTGGAAAATACTTCTACTTTTACTACTGCTACGCTTGCTACTGTGAGATAAGACTTCTTCTTTGAAGGCAGTGGATAATGAATAGTCCCACGTTCTGCATAATGAGTGGGTATTGTGATCTTAGTAGGAACACTATTGTGATCCTAGTAGGAACACAGTCTTTTGGTGATCTTTAAGGTGATGAAAGGATGAAGAAATTGTGGTAATTGTTTGATATAATCTGTTTCTATCAGTTTCGTATACGAGTACCAGTCTGTGTGCTTGCACATGCTTTAAATTACAGGCAAATGCAAACTGATGGCAAGATATTTATGACTTACGTATGATATGAACGCTTTTATGCTTTATGTGTCAAACGTCTAACTATGATTTGTGAGCAATAGACGATGCAGCTATGGCGGCTTTAGCCCAGTTATTAATGGTTTCAGTCAAGGAGACATCTGAATAGGCTTGGAGAGAAGGTCAAGCAGGGTATATATCATAAATCGAAGGGCCAATTTCAGTGAGGTTCCATGCTTACACATTACAGTTATACAGTATAGCTATACATGTATATGTAACGTTATATATGTATATGTAGCTGGGCATGTAGCAGAACATCATTGACATTTGTGATACACGTTAGAGGTTTCTGATAGATAGGCATTATTAGGCTGGCAATCTGCCAACGTAAGTAACGTGCCGGTAAATACAGATGTTCCATCTTAATTTGAAGAAATATATGAAACTATCTCGTGTGATTACGGCCCTACATCATTCGTTGGGGACAAAAAAATCATCTAGCAAATTGTAAACGTTACCTTGTTTACAATAATTCCACATAAAAGCGTCTCTCGTGCTTTATATCATCAGATTTCAAGCAGAGCAACGTTCTGACGGCCGTATCTGATGGGATCCGAAATCAGCACTTAACTGTAAGCAGCTGTCGTTATGCTTTTAAGGTAATATTCACCCGCCAGGCTCTAAATTCCCACCAGTTTATATGGAGAATTTTAATGTTGTACAAACCCTGGATGATATAACTAGATCAAGTGATACGTCCGTAAGTACGTGTCAGAGTGAAGTGCTGCTTTTAATGCGGTACTTCTGATGCAGTAGCCTCCTTTGGGACTGAAGCGAGCCTTAAACTAGTTGTGTAGTGTACATGTCCATGTAAGTTGGCAAATCACTGGGTACTAGTATCTTCAAGTGACGGTGCATAATAGCAATGTCAATAGTCGTGTCGAGGCGCTTTTAAATTAGTGCACCCACGTAAAGGTGTTTAGTATAATATTTTATACATAGCAAAATTGCACAGGTACGCTTTTTTAAGGGATAACTTCTTCATTAGCTAAGCAAGTTTGCATTTCCTATATGTACCCCAGTAAGTTCAGAACAAAGAACAGGACATGTTTAGTTGCCAAGGTTTACCAGTAGCATGGAGGTCAATGAACTCTAGTTTGACGTCACTGCTTTTTGACAGGTAAGCTGCGAGTCACTAAACAGACCTTGGAAACAGCCGTCCAACCGGTACGCCAGAACATACGTCAGTTGTAATTAAACATGGCGCACACACTCAATGTTTTCATATGCTACTACATGTAGTAGACTGAACAACTGTGGAACACAGTAACAACGTCAGTGAACATTCAAGCTTTGCTTTTCTAACGCGCTACCATGCCAACTGGTCTTTGTGCCATATTGAGTACAGTCATTATACACTTGTAGCACGACTTGGACTGCGCCTGACGTAGGTGTGACCAAACTGTAGAAGGTATGTACGTACATGTACACATAAGGGGAACACCTGAACTAATGTAGTGTGTCTAACCTATGGGCTGAGATACCCCCTAGCGAGGTCGCTAACCTCTGAACTTAGTGACGTACTAGAGCAGGTGTAGCCACGTGTTTAGTCTAGTGTTCAAAACTAAGACCCTGAAGCCTTTCTTTTGTCGAATGCGAGCCTTATAAGAGGTACAGTATTGAATGGCTAATTATGACTTGATATGAAAAAGGCCCTACAACCTTTAGTTGTCTAATAGTAATAAGAGCCTTAAGACATTTTAAATTGCAATATTGTATATTTCATTTTTCTTGTTAATGTGTTATTCACTACAGGCTATAAAGAGTTAAGACCCTGAACCTTTTGCATCCAGCAAAATCCGATAGTTAGGTGTAACAACTCGTTCGGTGTGATATAGCCAGCTGCCGCCGCGCCACGTGCCTGCGAAGCTGGTGTGTTACGCCGAAGGGCGGTTATACCGGCTATAAAGATACAGACAGATACAGAAAATCATTCTAAAACTACTTCTAGTTTACTTGAATGCTTGATACATTATTTACCCAAGGACCATGGAGAGAGGTCTCATCCTCCGCCAGTTCTGCGGACTGATACTTGTCGCAGCCATCCTCCTGACGCTTTACGGCGTGCTGCTGTTTTCTACTTACGCCAACAACAAAAGAGTCCCACGTAACTCGGAGTGTGATACCAAAAGGTACTTAAGTCTACAGCCATAAAATTACATGCATAAGAGATACAGTGTGCATGTATATCCAGTTAATGGTTTTCTAAATGGATATACTTGATGATATAATGATCACTTTAAGTGGTATGACGATATGTAATAAAACTATTATTATACTCGTCTGGAAATTATCTAGAAAATCGTGAATTAGTTGCATTTTATATCTCAAACAAGACCAATATTTTCGCTGATTTTATTAGTCGAAGATCTAATTGAATTTCTTCATTTAGGTAGTTATTTTTAGTAGGTTAACTTCTGTGTTGTTTTGTTTTTGCAGATTAGTCTCTTCTATGGATACACACAGCAATGCCAAGTATACACCGCAAACTTGCACACCGAGAACCAACCTAGCTCTCGCCAAGCTGCACAAGACTGGCGGTACAACTCTCATGCAGATTCTCCACCGTGTTGCCTACCTGAGAAACCTGTCTATAGTCATCCCAGTTTCCCCTGGTAGAAACAGCATCAACTTGTTCTACCCGCGATGGCCTAAACCTGACAAATACTTACCTCCACAAGGCAACAGTTATAACATGTTTACCTTCCATAGCTACTATAACCACACGAAGTTAGCTAGCTTACTTGGTAAGAACACTACGTTTGTTACTGTGTTACGGGAGCCTTTAAGCCATCTTAGATCGCAGTTTAACTTCTACTGGATGGCGAAGTACTATAAGATTAAAGGACCGGATCCACTGCTGCAGTTTTTAGAAAACCCGGAAAAATATGACCACAGAAGACCAGGGTATAGAGGCACAAGAAATCCAATGGCAGGGGAACTAGGGATAGATACAGAGAGTTTAGTAAGATTAACTCAACAGTCTATGGATAGACCACCCGGGCAGGCATTGAGTGATTCAGGTGTGAGAGAGATACAGTCTTTCATAGACAAGATTTCTGAAGAGATGGATTTGGTCATGATCCTGCAGTACTTTGACGAGTCGCTAGTCGTCCTCAAGAGGTTGATGTGCTGGCAGCTACAGGATATTCTGTACTACAAAATGCTGGCGTTGAAATATGCAGCTAAAGAGACTGAGGTCCCAGAAAAGTTGGTGGAGACCCACCGAAAGTGGGACCTCGTTGATTACGCACTTTATGATCACTTCAACCGAACTCTCTGGAAGAAAGTGACAGAAATAGGCGAAGACGACATACGGGCCGAAACCGACCACTTCAAGGAGGTAAATCTAAAAGTGCAAGAACATTGTAGCATGGATGGCTCTGATTACCAACAAGTTTTAACAATAGAAGAGACCAAATGGAACGCCAAGTTCACTGTGACCAACGAGTTTTGTACCTTCTTGAAATTCGGGCAAATGTGTTACGTGACGCTACTCCGTGACCGAAACCTACGTTACAGAAGAACAGAGGAACAGACGTTGGAATCGAAAACCCCGGACAATAAGAGAGATCTTTATTCTAAACGGTACTGTGTCCTTTGCGACGAAATCTCGCGAGATTGTACGTTGAACGAGTACCTCACACATCTGTATTTTGAAAACTCCGTGTCTCATTTCTCCTCAAGTCTTTACCCCAGTGGTCGCAGTACAAGGGGGGAATTTGACAAAACGTTTCACTGAGAGAGTGACGAAGTTCTTTATTCACAACCCCCTGTTTAAAAACAGTCGTTCGTGATCTTCAATATTAGGGCAATTGTGACTGGTTCACTTTTTACTAATGTTTAGTGGTACTGCCAACAATTTGGTCCGAAGTAGTAGTTGCCACATAGTTAAAAGTAGTAGTTGCCACATAGCTAAACAAGTGGTTGTGAATAAAGAACTTTAATCTGCTATTCAATCATTCACCAACTTGGTGAAATTATTTACGAATATTTCACTGAGATCTCGCCTGGATGTGGCATTCTCAAGTGAATTACTTTATCCATTATGAGAAAGGGATGGATAAGAAAATAGGCTTTACTTTCTTAACATAAAGTCCTTTTAAGTAGTTACAATACGTTTTGTTCTTGCAATTTCTGTTTGTTGCCATGGATAGATAAGACAGACACCAAGGATGCAGAGACGACCAGCGGATATGCTTGGAACTGCAGATGAATTAATTTTTATTGGGGTAAACCCTATTATAAGTTACTAACTGTAACTTAAGCGACGGTCACAACTCGCCGTACGTGCTTCTGCGTGCTGTCTACGTGCAAAAACGTGGGCAAACGTACGGCATCCGTGCGTGGTGAGTACCGCCTCCGTACGGAATCCTACGGATTTGGGAGCACGCAGACACGCCGTAGAACCTTAAGTGCATGTAATACTTTTTCTACGTGCGGTCTGCGGATTTACCACACGTGCGTGCGAGTACGTGCGACGCGCGTGCCCCGTACAGCCTATGAGCGTGCAACGTACGGACTCCGTGAGTCTAACTTCACTATTCTCACGTGCAATTGCTGTACGGACAGCGCACGAAGCACGTCAGTGCCACGCACGGTGCTTGCGTCATCCGTGCTTACTCCTCACTTCCCAGTTGACCTGCTCAATGACCACGCAGAACACACGTGCACCATACTAGGTGCTCCGCACGTGCAACGCACGCGCAACGCACCTTATTTCTACAGTATATAAAGACGACTTGACGGGCGACTGCCAACTCGTCTCCAAGATGCCCAGGAAGGCTCAGAAGAAGTCTACCAGACAAAATCCAAAGAAACGGGCCGCGGAAGACACCAGGGCGGCTAGTGATGATGAAGTTAACAGGAGGTGCACGCACTTACAACGTGCGAGTGAGTAAGGAAATCGTGCGCACGCCGCACGTGTAGGTACGGCCTGTACGCGGCAACGTGGCAATCGCACAGAGATCGTACGTTGTAAGCACGTACAACTCACTTACCACTTGCGCAACGTACGATGCACGCAACCGCTGACGGTCAGGCGTGTCGTGCAGACCACGTACGTACACCTTGCGAGTGACGTACTCCCTCGGCCGGCCACCCTACGTTTGCAGAAAAAACGTAGCAGACGTAGCCACGACAAAAACGTACGGACAAAAAGCACGCACGGCGAGTTGTGACCGAGGCTTAAACGAATCTACATTGTTCTTCAACTTGGAAAGTTCCTTCTCTTGATTATTAGGTTTAATAAACACACACTTGCATGCATATCCAGAAACTGTTATGGTATACCACAAAACCGATCAAGTTGTCCGTTCATATGTCTATCTGAGCTTCTCATGAATGAATAAAAGAAACACACAACATTAATATTACTTGTCATGTCGACCTTCGAGTGCAGCTAAAGGTCAGGGCAAGCGTTTGACGCCTGCGTACTGAAAGTAGTTCGACTGGCCCGACAAGCTTGCGTGACACCAAAACAAAGATGGCGGCCGGGTTGTGACACAGTAGAGCGGACAAGACAACAAAATAAAGAGCAATAATCCTCAAGTATTACTCAAGACTGGTCTGGTCTGGGGGTCAGGATTCGTGTGAGTTTTCGTATATTCTTCTTTTCCGAAGGGACTATTAAATCACCATTTTATTTGAACTTGAAAACCTTTGTTTTGGAAGCCAATACATGAACGTGTAGTGTACACAGGCACACTATGTTGCGATCCATTATACTTTCATGTATACACAATGCTGTATATGTTATAGGCTGTATAGTAATTATAGCAATTATAGGAAAAGACATCTAATAATGCTTTTTGACCTTCAGAAACAGTAAGGTTAAACTATACGTCAACTTGACTCAACTAGCTGATTTTGTTTGTATTAAAGCTTGCATTTGTTTCTTACATGCACATCCACTTGTTAATAATATAAGTTCATTTGTATCCATTTGTTTGTATGTATAGTTGTTGAAGACCTTGTGAGAGTCGCTGTACTTTTCTTGTATCAACAGCGATTTCTGTTTTACACAGTGCAATGGAAGGCGTGCCGATATTCCGGCTGTTCCGGTGGATGCTGTTGTTTGCTGTCGTCATTGTGCTGCTGTACGGCGCGCTGCTGTTCGAACGTCACAGCAACGCCGGGACAGCAGTGCAGTACAACACTTTGGAAGTTCAGAGAAGGTATAATATCGTACTCCCTGGTGTTTCGTATTGGCAAGGCTCGTGCAAAAATAACCAGGGACCTTTCATGTAAGGTTAGAGTCAAACCTGTACTATTGACCACCTCTACACAAGGGTATAGTCAAACCTGTACAAGTGACCTGGTGACCTCTACATATAAGGGTACAGCCAAACTTACACAAGTGACCACATAAGGTCCACCAGGCCGTTGTGGCCACTTTCCCCCATTGACACAAGCATCCTGTCTGAAGTGGCCAACTATGTACTGCTAATACAACATGTATTTTAGTCAAGTCCTGAGTGTCACCATAAACAGTATTGACTGTGGGTGAAAGATCTGGTCCTGTAAAAAGTGTAGTCAAAGTTTAGATTCTGTAAAACATGGAGTGATATACATTGTCACAGAAATTATCATAGAATTCCACACAGAAATAAATTATTATTTTTTCAATTTTCAGATCCGACACCACCCAAGATACAACGACTAAAGTCAAGTTCCGTCCTCCAAACTGCATCAAACGGACCAAGTTAGCCCTGGCCAAAGTCCACAAGACAGGAGGAACCACCCTGATGCAGATTCTTCACCGGTTCGCTTATCTCAGAAACCTTTCCTTGGTCATCCCAAGTCAGAGAAGCCGGGGGAGCATCAACGCGTTCTACCCTCACGGGCTGAAGACTGAGAAATGTCTACCACCACAGGGCGACCACTACGATATGTTTACGTATCATTTTGTCTATAAGCGAGACGCCATCACAAATCTACTCGGCAAGGATGCGTTTTTCGTCACAATTCTACGCGAGCCGCTCAGTCACCTCAAATCGCAGTTCCACTTTTACGATCTAGCAAAAGCCTACAAACTGAAAGGCGAGGCAAATCCTCTTGGGAAGTTTCTGGAAAATCCGGCTGCGTACGATCGTAAGAAACCAGGATATCTAGGGACTAGAAATCCGATGTCTGCCGATTTGGGCATGGATACTGGCGTTTTGAGGCAGCTGACAGAAGAAGCCATGAAATGGCAGCCTGGTCAACCTATTAACTCCACCGCTGTACATGTTATAGAGAGCTTCATTCGTAAAATTGACGACGAGTTCGATCTTGTTATGATCACTGAGTATTTTGACGAGGGACTTGTGATGCTAAAGAGGCTAATGTGCCTAGACATAAGAGACATCCTTTACTACAAAACACTTTCCTTTCTCTACAAAACAAAGGACAAAGAAGTGCCCACATCTTTAGTCAAGAACCATAAAAAATGGGACATCGTAGACTACCAACTATACTACTACTTTAACAAGAGCTTTTGGCGTAAAGTTGATCGGTTAGGAGACGGCTTCAGAGAAGAGACTAAATATTTTAAGGACTTGAACTTGAAAGTTCAGCGACATTGTAGTGTGAATGATCCCAGCAACCAAGGAGCTTTGGTCATACCGGAAAGTAACTGGAACCCGTCATTCATTGTGACTCACGAGTATTGTACTTTAATGAAGCTTGGGCAGATGTGTTACATGACTCTACTCAGAGATCGTAACCTTCGTTACAACAGAGACAAACATCAAGAATTACACCCTAAAACTCCTGAAGGGGACGAGGGAGTTTTGTACTCCAAACGGTACTGTGCCCTTTGTGATGAAATCTCGCGAGATTGCACGTTGAATGAGTACATAGCGCACCTGTTTTTCGAGAAGCACATCTCGCATTTTCACACGAGTTTTAGTCCGCACACGAGAACAGGGAGAGGGCAGAGGGAGGTGGAGTTCAAGGATTATTCGTGATCAAATCCTTTTAGATGATTATCTAAAATCAATGATTTAATAATGATATTTATTGCAAACTTATGCTAAGGCCATGTTGATTTGATTATATGGATGACATCCGCGCGCGCATGAATTTTCGGCCGTTTCCAAAAAAAAAAAAAGTTTTCAACCATACTGTAAATCGTACAAAACAGTTGCAAAATGAGCAAAAATATACCATAAGTTACAAAAAAATTTAATAAAAACTATACCAATGTCGTAGAATGCCAAAATCAAACGAAAAAAGACGAAATTGTAAAGAAATGAACTTGAAGACTAGATTATTCGCCAAACCATATTCTGTGCCATTTGCTCAACCCTCATGACCACGTAGATTTCATAATGAAAATAACTTTTTTTTTTGCAAAACTTTTTTTTTTATTCGCACGCGCGCATCAGTTTTGGGGCTCTCGGAGGATGTCATCCATATAATGAAATCAACATTTTAACATTTCTATATGCACTACTGGGGGTTGCCTCTTTTATGTATGACTAGTCAAACATATGATATCTTGTGTTTTCTGTTGTGAATAAACTTTAAGTCTGTAAATAAAAAAAGTATACAGACATACCATTTACAGCCAGCTTAACACGAGTGGTTACTAGTATGTGATTAAAACATTGAGATAAGTTTCAAACCTCTGGGGCTTTAAAACACATGCTGGGACAGAGGGGTCATAGTTCATCACTGCTATTAAAGTTTAAGAACTGGTCGGACAGCCTGCATGTCACTTGTCTTATTATCCAAGATGGCGGAGCGACAACAATACTACATTATTCGTTAAATATCTTGCTGTGTTAAGTTAAAAGTGTAAGGAGAAAGTTTACAAGGTAAGCTGTGAATGTTTGCTGTAGCACGGTAAATAAGTGCCCAATCCTCCTTTTCTGAGTATCTGAGTGAGTGATGCACCCGATTTTCTTATTAATCCCAATGTATCATATGCATGGCTATAGCGCTTTTATTTTGATATTTTATATCCCCAGCATAATGATTTATGTCTTGAATGCGGTATTCTGGGGATGTACTAAATCATAACATTGCATTGATTAATTGAACATAGCCTTCCGACATTGTTGAAAATCAAATATTGTTTTACTGAAAGATTGTTATCTCTTTTGACCTACAGTTTTGCTTGATTGAAGCTTTTCGTTCGACCAATAGTTTGTTGACAAGATAACATTGAGTAAAAAAACACATATTATTAAGCAAAATATTGAATCGGAGTACTTCAACTATAACCTTACTGTATTATACCTTCTGTTTCCCTTCCATAGCGACATCATGGCGGTTCGGGTACGCAGACAAGTGGTGGTCTTCTCTCTGGCTCTCCTGTTTCTCTACTTCATCGCTTCCATGTTTCTAACAAAGGACAACTGCAGCACTGCCGTTCGTGATTTAGGGAAGTTGGAAACAGACACGTTCAATGATCCTTGGAATGCCTGGCAAAAACGAGCGGATGAGCAAACTTCTGAGCTTTCTTGGAAAAGGTATTACAAGGCAAAATACAAACATAAATATTAGTTGGGTATACATGTAGGGGTTTCTTTTACACAACTTAACTATTCCTACCTTGCTTACGGGGATAAATACTTGTTGCCTATGCCCTTTTAATTGCTTATAGAGTGCTAAAGTAGTTGTTTGGAATCTTAATACAAATTCCTTCAATCATTCGGTACTATCAGTTTTTTTGACAATTTTCATATTTAAATGTTAACATTTTGGCATGCATGTGTACCTTCTCTATCTTTGAATTGTCTAGAAGTTTGAAATCATTAATAATAGAATAATGTCGATGGCATATCCGTATAAATATAAATATATATTAATATCTTTTATGACTGAAATGTTGATAAGTGTTTATATCATAATAAGTACCAACTCTCCTCCCACAGATACAGAGACACTCCTACAGACAACAGTAAAAGCACTAGCCAGTTCCTGCCGCCTACCTGCCTGCCACGCACCAAGCTAGCGCTGGTCAAAACTCACAAGACAGGCGGGACCACCACCATGCAGCTCCTGCACCGCTATGCCTACCTCAGAAACCTGTCCTTAGTCCTGCCTAACGCCACGCACCCGGGCCGCATGAACGCGTTCTACCCGCATAAACTCACTACAGACCGGTACCTGCCACCTCAATATGGAGATCAGTACGACATGCTGACATATCATACTGTGTATGATAGAGACACTTATGTCAAACTTGTTGGACAAGACGCAGCCTTTATAACCATACTGAGAGAGCCACTTAGTCACATAAAGTCTCAGTTTAACTTTTACAACTTTGTACAGAGGTTTAACATAACCGGACAGGACCCGTTTTACCGTTTTCTAGGAAACATTGGGAAGTACGATAAACATGGTCCGAGTCATCTGGGTTCTAGTAGCCCTATGTCTGTTGACCTGGGTATGCCTAAGAACGTTCTATCAGACATTACACAACACTCTTCTCAGAGAGAACCCGGACAACCTCTCAACGCTACTACCGTGCAATACATTCAGGACTTTCTGAAGAAGCTGACAAGAGAAATGGATCTCGTCATGATCACGGAGTATTTTGACGAGTCTTTAGTGATGTTAAAGAGACTCATGTGCTGGGAACTGAAGGACATACTCTACTACAAAGCGCTGTCGTTCGAGTACGCTACTAAGGAAAAACTCATACATACAAACTTAGTGGAAAACCACAGAAAGTGGGACACCGTGGACTACCACCTATACGAGCATTTCCTCACAATCTTTAAACAGAAAGAGCAGGAATTAGGACCAGATTTTAAAAGCGAGGTGAAGAATTTCAAAAACGTAAACCTTAAAGTGAAAATCCGCTGTAGAGAGACTGGTTCTAAAAACAGGGAAGACTTGATCATACCTGAAACCAAATGGAACAGAGCGTTTGTAGTGACACATGAGTTCTGTACTATGATGAAGACGGGCCAACTGTGCTACATGACGCTACTGATGGACCGTAACTATAGCTACAGGTCTAAGAAAAAGAGAATCTCGTCTGTTTCTAACCTGTACACCTCGCACTACTGTACCCTGTGCGGAAGGATATCTAAAGACTGTACTCTGGGTGAATATGTCACACATCTGATCCATGAGAACCGCATCCCACGCGCAGACTCAAGTTTCAGTCGAAACCGTCACACGGTAGACGGACAGAACCAGGAGGAGTTCCAAGCGTAGAGGACAGGCGTTCTGTACAAGATTTTTGTCCGTGCAAGACTTTTCTTTACATGATACACACACACGCACACACGCGCGCGCGCGCACACACACACAGACACACAGACACACAGACACACACACACAAACACACAGGCACACGCACACACACTCACACACAGGCACACACACACACACACGCACACACACACACACAAACACACAGGCACACGCACACACACTCACACACAGGCACACACTCACACACAGGCACACACTCACACACACACACACGCGCGCGCGCGCGCGCGCACACACACACACATCTACACACACAGGCACACGCACACACACACACACACACGCACACACACACACACACACACACACACACACACACACACACACACACACACACACACACACACACACACACACACCAATAATTCAGTTCTTCTCAGTAAATAAAGGATACTTACCAGTACAGTGTTATTAGCAAACAGCTGAACAAACATGTATACCGACAATGTCTACAGGACAAAAATTGTTGACAATGTATGTTACATAATCTTGTTTTAAAATAAAGGAAATGTACAACTCCATTATTGTTGTATGTTGTATTTATTTCATGCTAATTACATAATATTGCAAAATATGTTTATTGCATAATGTTATAATATTATGTACCAGTTATTAATCTACACATGCATTCTTAAAATGATATCTATTTGTTATTTATAAACTTACAAAAAGGCATATTATGAACGGTTTAAGCACCCTGTATTATGTCCTTGGTTTAAGCTTTATCAAACGCGCACCCTGACTGTGCTCCCCGGTGTGCAGACAATTATCCGGCACGTTTGTTCACTGACCCGTTACTGATAATACCCAGGGGTGTTGGGTTGTTACTGTAGTCTATTTGGAGGGTGTGTTGTGGTTTTTTCTAAAACATCAAATGCATGTACCCTCAAAGTCAAACCAAACGATGTTGATTTCACTCAAAATTGAACAAAAAGCCGATGCTGTATTAAATTGTTGCATAATTTTATCAATACGTATGAAGAGTTTTAATACATGTATGTATACTCATGATACTACTAGCATAGTGTGTTGAGTCCTTTCCACATTTGAGCGCCCCCTAGCGTCGCGAACTAGTATTGCAACCGGGGCGCTTGCTTCTGGCGTTTGTCTGCGTGACCTTACAAGGGTGGTCGGTCCGGTTTCGCCGTGCTACAGGGTATGGGATTACCTATTGTGCACGATGTGGTTTCCGTGCTGCGTTTAGAGATTTAGAGCTTCTCCAATAACTTCTGCCACAACGGGAGCAAGATCTACACCCTGACTCGACATAGGAGCATGTAAGTAAAGATACCATTCTCTGTAAAACGTCGTGGGAAAATAGTTCGCTTTTTCTTCAGTTTAAAACTCCAGAGAGCTCAACTTTGACCTGTGACCCAGTGTAGATAAGAATCTAAGCCGCAATAATGTTGAGATTTCCTCGCTCGTTTTCTTCCGTGTTGTATTTTAAGAAGAATTTTACGTACTTGGTCCCCAGTAAAGTCTACATCTGACACATCCTATGAAGTACATGATCTAGATCACCACCTGTTTGATTTCTGCATGCAGTACACGTACAAAGACCAGTGTATAAGGTATATCCCCAAGGCAGTTTGCTACCCCTGACAGAGTAGTCTGTACTTCGCCTAAGGGACTAGAATCATGATCATGATACACAATAAATCTGTAAAGAAACTGGATAGATTTTGTATGTTTAATTGTGCTATAAAGAACTAGTAAACAGTTTGTTATATTTTGTAAAATAAGTACGCAATTTAGCCCATTGGCTGCAATATAATTGTCTTTATTGTCATCAATGAACATGTTATTCAAGCATTCCATTCGTATTCAGCCTAGACTTGTTCCTTTCTAACTTTCTTCCTTTCTTCATTTTTTTGACCACTCTGTATTAGCTCAGTAACTAGAACACTTTGTATTAGCCTAGTATAATACCCTTGTACATAAATGTATGTTCCTTATGTATGTATTTCTAAGTCAAGTAGTGTATCTTTTGTCTTCACATTTCTATATACGTTTGTTATGTGTCTGTTAAGTCTTGACCTGTACCTAGCCCGTCGTGGCATGAATATTGAATGTACAATAAAGGCATATCATTTTATTATTTCATTTTCATTTTCAGTTTGGTTCTCCTCTTTCCTTGTTACGTTTACCTGTTCACTTTTCTGTTAAGTTGGTTCTCTGTATGTAACAGTCATGTGACAGTTACCTCTTGTTACTTTTATGCATTATCAATTTTGGTTGAACCTAAATTATTATTATTTATCATCTATGTTACATTTGATTTGATTTCTGTATATGACCAGTATAGTACTACTTAATTTCCTGTATTTATTATATATTATGTTAAGTTATAATTTATGTTATATCTGATTCTCTGTACCTTTTGAGTTGACTTGATTTTGTATTTTGTCGGTGCCTTATAAGCCCATATGGGCTGGGCGGCATATTGATCGCAATGGCACGAAAATAAACAGTCATTCATTCATTCATGCATTCATATTTCAGCTCAGAAGACCACGATGAGGCCGCCCGTTTGTCTGTTCAAGGCCATCCTGGGGCTGGCTGTCTTCACGGCAGTTGTGATCACGGCAGTCTCGCTATTTACCGCGAGACTTGAGACGTCCAGACGACCTGTAGCTGTGCAGGTTCAGCTGAGGGAGATACCGACGGTTCGACCTCCCAGTCGGTAGGCATCTTTGAGCTCTCCTTTTATTTCTACCAGGCTTCGGGAGACGGCTGGAAAGAGTAGAAATTGGCCAATTGGCCTGGTGCGGCAAAATGTACCCTCTAGCAGACCAACGTAACTCTCTTGGCAAGTTATCTCTCTATTTGGCCAATTTTTACTCTTTCCAGCCGCCTTCCGAAGCCTGATAGAGGCTATAGGTAGCAAAGAAAACGTACACCTGGTTTCTTTTGGTATGATGCTTGCAAGATGTGACAGAGAGTGTCATTCTCATATAGGACTGTTGTGCCATAGCAGAAGCTGTAGGGCCGATATCAATTACGGTTTTACCATGGTCAATATAAATAACTGAAGGAGCCCACATGTAAGTGTGTGCTTGTAGATTAAAATATTAATAAACACAAAACAAATAAATACGATCTTACAATATCTACCGACTACTAGTAAGTGTCGATGATTGTATGTCCCACAGAAAGATTTTTCAGCAATTATACCAATCATCTGTTATTTTCTATCATATTTCTAATTTATGAACGTCTGAACAATTATATTGATGATGTTTCGTAAACTATCTCAAATAATTATTTCAAACGCAATAATAGAATTCTCGTCCTTTGTTTACATCATTAGAGAGCAGCAGAGGGTCTTTGAAAAGGACACTATCAAGTTCTCTCCACCGAACTGTACAGCGAGAACCAAACTAGCTCTGACAAAGACTCACAAGACGGGAGGTACAACACTGATGCAGATCTTCCACCGGTTCGCCTACCTACACAACCTGTCAGTGGTCCTGCCCACAGCCACGCATCCTGGCCGTATGAACCTGTTCTACCTGAAAGGTCTGACTCCCCAAAACTACCTCCCACCTCAACATGGCCGCTACGACATGCTAATCTACCACACCAAGTATCACAAGGACAACTACACCAAGCTGTTAGGAAAAGAAGCGAAGTTCATCACCATTCTGAGAGAACCTCTGAGCCATCTGAAGTCCCAGTTTAACTTTTTTAACCTAGCGGAGAAGTTTAAGTTGACAGGACAGCAGCCGCTGTTCCAGTTTCTACAGAACCCTGGCTTGTATGACCACGGGAGAACAGGGAGTCACGGGACCAGAAGCCCCATGTCTAAAGACCTGGGCATGCCTAGGACTACTCTGGAGGACATTGGCAAAAAGATGGAGACATTAAAACCTGGAGAACCCGTCAAAGCTGAAGTTTTGGCTACCATACACTCTTTCGTCGCTAGGATTTCAAAAGAGATGGATCTTGTGATGATTACGGATTATTACGACGAGTCGTTGGTTATGCTAAAGAGGTTGATGTGTTGGGAGCTGAGAGACATATTGTACTTTAAAATGCTCTCCTTTTCGTACGAGTCCAAAGGAGATAACATTCCACCATGGCTGGTCGAAAAACACAGAAAATGGGACATCGTAGACTATCATCTCTACGAGCACTTCAACAGAACGTTCTGGCAAAAAGCGTACCAGCTGGGGGAAGACTTTAGAGCCGAAACTGACAATTTTAAGGACATCCACCTCCAAGTTCTGAAACACTGTACAGTGGATAACCCTCGGAACAAGGGCGTGCTGGTTATATCGGAGAGCAGATGGAATCCCAGTTTCACAGTGACATACGAGTTCTGTACCTTACTGAAGTACGGACAGTTGTGCTACATGTCGCTTCTCTATGATCGGAACTTGAGGTCCAGAAGAAAACCCAACCCAGGACTGAAGAGCAAGCTGAAGGAACACTCCCCGCACTGTGCGCTGTGTGAGAGGCTGGTACCGGACTGTACCATGTGTGTGAAGATATCCCAGGATTGTACGCTGAACGAGTACATCACACACCTGTTCTTCGAGAAGCAGTTGTCTCATTTCGACTCCAGTCTCAGCAAAAATCGCCGAACTATAAATGGACAAAGTCAAGAAGAATTTAATGCCGACGGGTCTAGTTAGGAGCGTGTTCGTTGGCCATACAGCATACTAATATAATAACCTGCACGAATGTTATCAATAATTTATGTATCTCTCAAATAATAAAATACATTTTCAGTATTCTCAGTCTATCTCCTATGTCATTTTTTCATATCCTAGGCGTCGAATACTGAATAATAATTCCCATACTACATGCATGCATAATTTGAGAAATAACTAATTGATAAACAAGCGAATTATATACCAACTGCTAAGTATCAAATGGCAGCTTGTAAAATTACTTTGTCATGACTACGAGTACCAGTGTTAGCAACCCAGAATTCGCCCTTTCATAAACTATCATAGAGTGAAACTCGTCGTCACAAAGCACTGTTACAGTAGAGATACATATTGTATCTTCGATACTTTTAAACAATGCTTGCAGCTGTGCAAAGGTCATTTGTGACAGGTTGTTCAGTTGAATACAGCCATCTGCCACCTTTCATGTTCCATAAATCGTTATCAAGGCCACGTGTTCATCTTTTGTGTAAATCTGACGTAAAATCAATGTTGAGTCGCCAACGCAAGTCGTAACATTTTTTTTGTCTCCGTTGCAAGCTTGGATCAGAACTCACTGCGTGTTTTGAAGCGTACGAGTGGAGAAACAAACACACACACGAGCCAGTCTCTCCATTCACAAACAAATCTGACCTCTTTAGTCTGATCTTAGGTGGTTGAACCGGTTCTAACTCTGACGTCACACGCCCCTACGTGTTTTGCGCTGCTGTACTCTGATTGAATTTTGGCACGGCCTTTGACAGTCTTTTACAGTCGGAATCCGTCCAGTATACGTGGCTCTTGGAGGTCTAAAAAAGTAAGTATAACATTCTATCTACACAGTGTTTGTGTAAAAACGGCCGTGTCTAAGAGGCTGTTGTCATGGCCAGAGTATAGAGTGTCTGTGACTAGACACAGCGAACGAATTGTTGTTTTGTATATTGGTTAATTTAGGGTCTAAACGAGAATTGAGAACTGCTTTGACATATCTGGATTAAGACTGTATAGAGGGGTTTTGCGGTAAGTCGTTCACCGTATGAAGTTGAGGAAGTGTGCGGCGTGTCTTGTGTTGTTACTGTCAGACACGGTCGAATGCTCTTGTGGGGTGTTCCCTTCCAAGAAGACAAGTGGGTCTTAATTGGCTGATCATAATTGGTTATATGTATACAGGCCTGGGGTGTTGTGCTGTCGACTTCAAAAAGTCGCTTTCATAATTCTTTTTCATTCATTTATTTTGCCAGTAGATCGCACTCGGGTATTTCAGGTGAGTTCTTGAACACATTTCAAATCTTGACGCAGACACACGAAATAGAACAAACTACACAGACATAAACAAACATCATTGAGCGCATGGTCCAGTCAACTAGCACTACATATATAAAACATGTCCTACGTATTTGAGACCCTTTTTCAAATACGTTGTCCAGTTACCAGGGTTAGGCGTTTATAATAGCGGGAGGCTTTTTGAACGGAATGTATGTCTTTTTATACAGCCTAATAAATTCAAACCAAATCATTCGTACACTTTTTACTACTGCAGTACTCAATGGATACACAAGCCGGCGCCGATAAACAGCAGTAAAATCTTTCCACAGAAAATATTCACCTCCATGAAATAATTTCAAATATACCTTACAGTATAATGAACCAGTGTAAACTGTAATTTCCAACACAATGGATTCAGACTTACCCAAATTTTCAACTGTTCAACTCCAGTCTTTGTCAAGGAATGAGCAAACCATACAGTTTTGGTTTACTTGGATGTCTACTTGGATGTCTACTTGGATGTCTAACCTTTGCCTCTTTCCCTTCCAGCCCCAGAATGAAGCCCACACCGCCGTTCTGCCTGTTCCAGAGTCTGCTGCTCATGTCTACAGTGATGCTGGGCATCATGATGGGCATGTTACTGACGGGACAGTCTCAGATCAGGGTCTATTCGAGAGAAGACAGGTTGGTATATACTATCATGGAAGTTCATCTGTGTTGGTAGTTACATGTTTAAAGATGTCTAACCCTCATCAAAGCAGTGTAGACTATATACCAACCTGTTTAAAGTTAAAACGTTTGGTCCAACACAACAAAGTTCTCTCACCTAGAGCTTTCGATTAGTCACCCTGGTCTTCCTCAGGAGACGTTACACTTCAAAGAAGCCACGTGACAAGCTTCACTGGGTCAGTCTACTGAGGAAGACCAGAGTGACTGGGCGAAAAGCTGTAGACGAGAGAACTTTTTGTGTTGGACCAAAAATTCTAACTCTAAACTGGTTGGTATATAGTCTACACTGTTTTGATGAAGGTTATACATCCAGGCTAGGTAAACAATACTGTTTGGATTGCTCATTCCTTGACAAAGACTGGAGTTGTACAGTCGAAAAGTTGGGTGAGTCCAATCCCTTGTGTTGGAAATTACAGTTTAAACTGCTTCATAATACTGTAAGGTATATTTGAAAATTATTTCATGGAGGTGTTCTGGAATAGTTTTTAATAATCTATTTACAATTCTTGCCCGAACACTAATTACAACCTGACATAATGTATGTTCTAATACTTCTTTCTTTCTTTTGTTAAAATAGGCCAACTTACATACCAGCTGAGGTAACTAACAGACCAGCTGAGGCGACAGTAAAACCGTCCGAACCGGTACACAAACAGCCGGCCGACGTGAAATATACCCCTGGCTGCGAACCGCGTACAAAACTGGCCTTCATCAAAACCCACAAAACAGGAGGGACCACTCTGATGCAGATCCTGCACCGCCTCGCGTATCTGAAGGTCTGTATGAAGTTTGCTCGTTCCCTGATGAACTCAGATTTTAGACACTGGCTGCCACTACACAGGACCCAGATTTCTGGCACAGTGACCCGTAACGGTCACAAACTGGCTAGGACAAAAAGATACCAGAACTCTAGTATACCGTATATGGTCAATCTGCTCAACCAGCATGAAATCAGCACTGTAAATATACTGTACCAACCTGTTTTTAAACTTTGACATGAAATTTTAACTTGTTTGTATATATCTATAGCCACTTGTATTATAAATACTTATACAACTACATGTACGTCCATTTTATAACAGTAGTCTACTTATTGCAACTGTTTTTATCTAATTGAGATTCTTTGGAACATCTCTGTCCATAATATCACCAGGGTCCATAATATCGCCACCTTGAGAAACAGTGTGCTTAAAGATATTTTTACTGCTACATCCTTTTTGTATGCACTCCTGCACACCTCAAATGTACATACCTAGGGTATGTTGCAGTAAAAATATCTTCAAGCACACTATTTCTCAAGGTGGTGATATTATGGACCCTGGTGATATTATGGACACAGATGTGTACATGTAAATTCGATTTAAAGTCATCTTGTATCTTGTATCTGAAGGACCTGGACATCATCATGGAAAAATCCACCAACCACGGCAGTATCAACGCGTTCTACAACCACGGGATCAAGAAAGAGGATCTGATCCCCCCAAGAGGGAAACATTACGACATCCTTGCCTACCACACCAAGTATAACAGGGAAATCACACAGAAAGCGCTTGGACCAAACGCTACGTACATCACGCTACTACGCGAACCATTAGGACAGCTGCGGTCTCAGTTTAACTTCTACTGGATGGCGAAGTCTTTTAAGATTTCCGGACCCAACCCTCTTGCGCAATTCTTGAAAGACCCTGCTAAGTACGACCACAGGTCGCCAGGCTACATGGCGACAAGGAACCCTATGGCGTCAGACTTGGGGTTTGGAAAAAAGGAGCTAGTCGCTCTCACAGAGGAGGCCATGAAGAACAATGAGGAGGTCTACTTCCCCAGACCTCCGGCAAAGGTAGAAGAGTTTATAAGAAACATTACCTCACAGTTAGATCTAACCATGATTATGGAGTACTTTGACGAGTCTCTAGTACTTCTGAAGAGGTTGATGTGTTGGGATCTACAGGATATTCTCTACTTCAAATCCCTGTCGTTCAACTACAAGGCAAAAGAGGAGGAGATATCGGAAGATCTGGTGAAGATGCACAGAAGGTGGGACGTCGTAGACTACTTTCTGTACCACCATTTCAACAGGACGTTCTGGAACCGAGTCGAGAAGCAAGGAGACGACTTTTGGGGTGAAGTCAAACACTTTAAGGAACAGAACCTCCGTATGCAGACTTACTGCGTCGGAGAAAACATTGAGAAGACAGACGAGCTGTCCAGTCTTGTCGTGGAAGAGACGAAGTGGAACAGCAGGTTTCTTATAACGCCAGAGTTTTGCACCGTCGTTAAGTACGGACAGTTTTGCTTCATGACTCTGCTGCGAGATCGGTACTTCCGGCACTTCAAGAAAAGTAGGAAGACGAGCAAACCGATAGATCCACTAAAGACCAAGATGAAGTCGCTATACGAGAAACCGCTGTGTGAAATATGTGACATTGTGAGTAGGGATTGTACCTTTAACGAGTACTTGACTCATCTGTACCACGATAAACTTATTTCCCGCGCTAAAACAAGCTTTCACCCGTCAGGAATGGGCGGGAGGGGGAAGATAGCGGATCATGTATAGGTTAGACTGCCTGCAGTTCCGCAGTGTTCCGCATGGTGGCCAGTTGAAATTCATTCAGCACCATGGCTATATAACGTTGGCTGGTATAGGGGCTATCTAACACAGGACCGTGCCTATACCTAGTTCTATGTCTTAATGGGGTAGGGTTAGGATCACGTGCGGTTCTTGATAGTCTCAGCGTATAAACAAAAGGAATTTTTTTCCCATTGCAAATTGCATGGGCATTGGTAAGTAGGTATGTGATTTTTAAATAAACATTTGAATATCATTAACTCAAAAACAGTGATGCGTAGGGCCAGTATAACAGGCACATAAGTTATAATTCTACAACTTAGGACTTGATACCTTGGTGATATACCTCGTTTTTCTCAAGTATATCTTATGTCTTTCAGATATATTTATTGAACCCAACATTGATTATGTAGTGGCCAAATGCATGAGAAATATTATTTAAGAAATACAAAATAATACGTTGACATGGCCTTATATTTAATCTACCTCTGTGTATTATCAATAAAAAAAGACTAAACAACAGATATACTTCGAACGTGACGTAATATACAGTTAGCTCACTGTCATTATAATCTCACCTCCAATTCATAGTGAGGTGGATGGAAAATTGAAAAAATACACAAGTATGAAGTCTGCATATGCACTTTATTGTGCCACATTATATATTCAAAGAAAAATCTATCACATTCGGCATATCCCAACATATTACCTGATCTCTCCCTTGTAAATTCATGAATCCATCATATAATGAGATCTGAAATGACATCATATTATTAGGGATTATGATTTTTCTGCGGCGATCACATATCAAATTACATCCATACAACGTCACGGCGTTGTAGCTTGAATATTGATATGTTATGAATTATTCAAAGTAAACAAGCAATTTGTGTTTAATTTCTGTGATATTTTTAGAACCGTCTCCTCATTCAAACTCTGCAGTAAAATATTGTCATTTCTTAAAACTACACTAAATTTTTATAGTCTTTTTCATACATTTGATAGTCTATGTATTTTGTCCAGACGTATGTATGTTTATGTTTAGTAGTGTTTGTGTTTTTTGACCCGTTCCAAGGTCGAAGATGACTTCATGTTGAAGGAATGTAGGATTTTACATACCCTCCCTTCCCCCGAGATATGTTTTCGGCATAACTTATTGCTGCGCGAACTAAAGGTTGTTTGGAGAGTGGTTTCCTCCCGAAATCTAATTTGCCAGACGACCCATCTGCGAAAAAGATCGTACATTTCTGCATTTACTTCGATCGCAGCGCCTAAAACTAATTAAGCGGCGCCGGGAGCTTTCTTTCCTCTTCCCCCATCCAAACTAGCGGTGCCTCATTGGCGGGTATAGGGCAGGGATTCCTCCCAGTACATTTTGGCGGGAAGCGGGGAAGCCATCTTGTTTTTCTCTGCAAAAAAGAGCAAAAATTATAGGCTGAAATCGGCCTTGTGAGGTGGAATCGTCTTCCGGAACACCACAACACCCTTGGATCGTGCCATGGACGCAACGGTACAGGCCGACACTCCAGAAGTGGTGAAGGTAGGGTCCTAAATCATCTATATCACACGTTTTGTTTACTATCGTCCACTGTATAACGTTCGCCATTTGTTGTACATGTGTAGATTCCTACAGTCTGCACTGTTGCCAGCTTGTCGATGCCTACAGCAAGTCCTAATATACGGGCTGTCTAGAATGCCAATAGTTCCCTTATGTATTGGTAGCATTGATGTTTAATTTAGGAGCACTGGGGGTCTAGGGCAGATGGGTGTTCCCACCCAAACCTTAAAAACGACACCTCCCCTTTAGATTGTCTTATTTATGCTCTATATTTCTACATATATACGGGTACTAAAACAAACATGGCGCGACCACGATATTTTCTACAAAAGCCTATCCACAAAATGGCTGTGTTACATAGATGTCATCTACGCGTCCGTAACAAGGGGGCCGGGCCCCTTCAAATTTGAATTTCAAAAATCCCATTGTAGATATTGACATGTAGTGGAGCCGTTAATTTTGTTATTGCACGTGAAGGGATTCGAAAAACCATTCGTAACATCAGCATGTAAGCACTTAAAGTTTTAACCTTTAATGATTTAAATAGGGTTTGATGTATTTTCATTTTGATGCAAGCAACGTCCACCTAATATAACGCTGTCCATTTGTGTATTTTTTACAAGAATTTGTGAAAACAGGTATAGTATCGGGTTAAAAATTAGGTATGACCCGGGGGAGGGTTACTAATGATATGCCAGTGCCATGTATTGATGGCGGTAATAATTGTGTATGCACGGCGCGTAGGGTGCAGAGCCTTCACGGGGTGATATAGTGCCTAAACCTATTACCGTACACCCTGCCCGGCGTGTGTGCTGTATTCATGTATTCAGAACACATCACTACTGTCGTAAACATTACCGCTATCCGTGCGTTTGTCTGACCTATATACTGCACTCCCGTATAGTCACTTGGTAGCTGCATACATTTTGGGCGGCCCAGTTTTTTTGTCTCATTCAAGGCAACAGTGATTTGAGTAAACTTCACTGTTGACTTTTCCTCGTCATCACGAGTCATCCGGGTGATTCTAACCGTCCGCGCAGGCATGGCTGAGAGCTCACGGGACGTTTCGGACACCGCGTCGGTGATGTCTGATTCCTCCGCGGCCCCCTCTCCCCGCACGGCCCGGAGAAGACATCTCGCCATGTTCGGGAACATCGTGGACCCCAACGAGGGGAAGTCGCTGGATTTCGGCAGCGATAGGAGCTCGCGAAGGGGGTCGGGCAGCTCTGCGGGGTCCAACCCCCCGTCCAACCCCGGGAGCGCCCCCCACACCCCTCCCCGCACCCGCCGGCTAGGTCCATCCTCCATGTTCGGTCAGTTAGTGGACCCAGACGAAGGGAAGTCGCTACAGTTCGGCTCTGAGAGAAGCTTCGGGAGTAGGCGAGGGTCTTCCGGCTCCAACAGCGCTCACGAGAACGGCAACACTCCACCTAAGGACAAGAAAGACCAGGATGAACCTCAAGAGCCGAAAGAGATGGAGGGAGGAGAAGAAGAACAGGAAGAGAAGAAAGAAGAGAAGGCAGAAGCAGCGCCAAAACCGAGGGTTAAGAGAGAAGAAGTAACCATCCAGCAGACGGTATATTTATCACTATCATTTTGTCATAAAAAATCTGGCGTTTCATCACCCCAGTTAATCCCTTGCAAAATGTAACCAAGAAATTGCACTACTTTTGTTTATTTTGCTCAGAATGAACTTTAAAAGTTGCACTTAAGCAATTTTGTCTGTTTATAGAAGAAATGTTGACAGAATGATATGATCTTTCCTTTTTCCTGCGTGAAACAATGATTGTGACCCCGGCTATGATCATGATGTTCATGGATCCACAAACATCATTTAGAACGCTATGAATACTGAACAGGCCCATCCATCCATTGCAGCCCCATAATTACCAAGTCTGCCTTTATCTACACATTACTACATTCGTTCTTATCTTTACTAAGTCTACTTTAAACAGAATTCTAAATGATTCCAAAATAAAAAATTTTCTACTATTTGATCAGAAATTGTCGACAATCATATGGACGTCTACGTACATGTAATCTCTAGGGCATACGTTTTTATCTATACATTAACGGTATCTGTTCTTCACTAAGTCTGCTCTAAACAGAATTCTAAATGATTCCGAAATGCGCGCTCTTTAGAGAGGGCTTGAATAGATTCTTTTCTACTATTTGATCCCAAATTATCACAATCATATGTGCGTCTATGTACATGTAATCTCTAGGGTATACGCTTTTCTTATCATGCATTTTTATTGCATTAGATAATCTTGTTATCGCGCTAACTGTCGGCTAAGCTAGCTGTTACTCGCCTTACAAAGCATGATTCATAACCAAGGGGTTTGCATAATACGTTATGTTGTTACGAACGACAGAAAAATGAAAGAAAATGTTTCCCGGTTTGATTTATTCTATCCACCTGCCGGCAAAGCGTGCTGCGAAGTCAGCCATTTTTATTACCCAGCGGCCCTTTTGATGGATCACGTGACCGTGACCGCCCGACCTGTGTAAAATACGGCGTTAAGTGGGACACGAACCCGTGTGCTTTGGTTTACGAGCGACAAAGGAAGAAAAGGCGGGGAAAATCGCAATTTTATGCTCGGCGCTATTTTGTAAATCCCTCACAAAGGCACCCCATTGGTTAAGCATATTCCACCTGCAATGGTTATAGTAATTTAACACTGGGGGTTATTCATTAAATCCTGCCGATATAATGCGGATGAATAAATGCACAAAATGTTTCAAATGTGGGGGAGGACCCTGTCACATATATCTCATCCTACAATCGCCGATATAATGCAAGGTTTTAAGCTTTAAATAATCACACAAAAGACATGACTTTCTATTAAATATTTGGTCGCTAATTTGTCGCACATCGGTCGCAAAGTGGTCGCACAACGGTTGCACAACGATCGCACAACGGTCGCACAATATAATCCGGATGAATAATTGCAAACAATGTTTCAAATATGGAGAAGGGCACTGTCACATTTATCTTACTTACAATCGTCCTACGATCGCAAGCAGACTAAGGGCATTCTTAGGATAGTCATGCATGTGTCGTATAAAAGTCTTGGGATAGTCGTGCATGTGTTGTAGAAAGTTCTTGCGATAGTCTTGCATGTGTTGTACAAAAGTCTTAGGATAGTCGTGCATGTGTTGTACAAAAGTCTTGGGATAGTCGTGCTTGTGTTGTACAAAAGTCTTGAATTAGTCGTACAAACGTCTTGGGATAGTCGTGCATGTGTAACAATTCTTGGGATAGTTGTGCATGTGTTGTACAAAAGTCTTGAATTAGTCGAACAAAATTCTTGGGATAGTCGTTCATATGTGTCTTACAAAATTCAGCTGCCTTGTTACAAAAAAGTCTGTCTTAGACCCTTGTCGGTGGTTGGTTCTGTCACAGCCTGCTTCAAAATTATACGATATGAAAATCGGATTATCAAAGTTCATTTGTGTTGGTAGTAGTCATAGTAAAACGTTGAACTTTATTACAACACACAATTGTACAGGGATCAAATTTTCAGCGACCACTGTCGCCTTCATCAGGATAGTTTATGACAAAGTTGGATATCAAAATCGTATGAGGACGAATGTAACATAATATATATAATGTAACATAATGCATGTATACATGTATGTAAGGCATAACCATAATTCCCGGACTCATTTCAAAATCTCCCATTCTCGTCGTAGTATGAAGAAAGCACAACCATCTGTTTACCTATGCGCGCTGTGTGTGTGTATAGAAACCCCCCAGACTGATTAATGAGTTCTACGTTCATTAAGGCTCGCAGCTAATTAGATCGCTATTCGGTACCGAATCACTTAACTGGATTGAAAGTGGGACCATGCCCAAATATGGTACATTGATTTTTGGTGGCGATGCCTGAGCTAATATTACATGTCGCCTTGCCAAGCGCATACGTCTGTACTCTTATGATATACTGAGAGCGTTTTTTGTGAAGGTATTATGGATTTTGATTGATACAAAGACCTATAAGCGTGCCCCTTGCCAAGCGCATATGTCTGAATTCTTGCAATATACTGAGAGCGTTTTTGTGAAGGTATTATGGATTTTGGCGCCAGTATATAGCATTTGAAGAGAATACATGTACAGAATTACCATGTTCTTTTCATTGATGCAAAGACCTAAAAGTGCCCCCACCCCACCCCAATGCTGTAGGTACAATACACTTCATTGAGAGGCTTAGGCTAGGGCATTCCGTAGGGGTTTTTGACAGTATGCAGTGACTAAAATTTGATTTGTGTGACGCTTGATTTCGTGATTGGGATATTCTAGTAATGCAAGGTTTTTAGCTTTAAACTATGATTTAAAAATCATATTGCATTGCATTGACAACTAAAATATAGGTACAAAGCTGGTTGGTATGTATTCACAAGGCGTATGAATCAACTACAGCAACATTAACTTTTATATAACTACGTTTATGCCCTAGGCCTGGGAGCTCAATTTTTGTCTCAGACACTCTACAGTGATATAAGTAGTATTCATGGCACTTTCGCTCAAGGTGATGCCATAGAATTTTGCACCAGAAAGGAGAGAGAGAGCATACTGATCAGGGTATTACGTTCACAGCAGTCAAGACAGCAATCCTGTCCCATAGATAGAGATAAAATGTCCTAATGTATTTCCGTCCGCAGAATGAACTCACTAGGATGCCGTCTTCAATTTAAACTACAACCGTTATGGCGCTATTACAGAGCTTTGACGCACGCAAGGTGGACATCTGGCGTCCTTCCAATAGTCCCGTGTGCCTTTCTGTAGAACAGGTTTAGACGCTGTAAAGTACATCGATTTTAGAATGTCATTTTACCTCCAGGGGCCTGGTATTTCGGAAGGGTATTCCCACTTACATGACGTGCACTTCAGAAAAGGTTTCAAACTGTCTTTTTACGAGGGTGTTTTCTATGGTGCGTTATTGGTACTTAGGTTGAGTGATGGCGACGACATTAACTTTTAGTAGATGATGATCCTAGTTGGGTGATAGCGCTATCTTTAATGTACAGGGCGGAGATTTGCACTCTCATCGAACTGTTTAAAGAAATATCGCCTGCCTACGAATTAGATTCAAAAATGCCATCCCATTATTTCAAACATTAACACTAGTTAGGTTAAATCGACATTGCAAAGTCATGTTTTTAAATTTAAAGTTTTAGATTTGACATTGGGTTTGTAATTCTGCTGTAAAAGGAAGGAAGGAAGGAAGGAAAGAAGGAAAGAAGGAAGGAAGGAAGGAAGGAAAAGAAAAATGGAAAGGTAGCTAACTGTCTGTATTGGTCAATCCACGACAATGAAAATATTTGCTTTTAAATCACTGTGGACTTGTCCATATGCAAGACTGGCATTAGTGATGTAATTTTACTCTCCAAGCAGAGGTTTGGGTTTTGGGGGTATTTTTAGCGTGTTTTTT